AGTCTTACAGCCTTATTTCATGTCTTTTCTCTCTTCCCTTTCTATAATCAACTCTCAAAGTTGGCATTTCATACTCCAGACATCACACTTTCCTTTTATGTACAAAATAACAAAACTGGGGAGGCGACGGCCCATTGGTATTATCACTGGACTGTTAATTCAGCGAGCCCAAATAATGTTCTGGGGACTGGGTTCAAATCCCGCCACAGCCGAGGGTGGAATTAGGATTCATTAATAATCTGGAATTAAGGATGTAATGACGACCACAAAATGACTGTCAGGAAAAACCCACCTGGTTTACTAATGTCCTTTAGGAAAGGCAACTGTCATCCTCACACCAGACCCATACGAATTAAGAAAAAAGTCAAGAGGGACTAAATTGGATAGCCCCAAAAATATCCCTATTGATTAAAAACACAGGCAGGACATCAAATTTGAGCTGCTTGTCCATTTGTGTGTACGGCTAGTGGAAACAGTCTTGTTCCTGAGCAGCACTTATTATCAGGGGCCCTGAATAATAAATTCCCAATGTCACCTAGAGCCAATCTGCAGCTCAATGGGGTGTTGCATCAGAGGGGGGTTAAGTGCTGGGAGTTATTCAGGAAGGGATTACTCCAAGGGAAGAATGTTGAAACTGGATTATTCGGCAACATGTAGTTTCCCAGGTTTTGGACACTGTATTTGTGTTCTTTTTCAGAGAAAGTAGAAAGGAGGAGAAAGTGTCCTGACGGCATAGGGGAAAGGAAAGAGGCTTTTTAGAGGCTGAATCCAATTTCAATGAGCTCTGGTAACTATGGAGGTTACACTTAACAGTCAACTTGTAAAGACATGGATGTTGTGCCACAAGAGCTTTAATGACATGTTCAAGGTCAGTAAAAATGTCTCCCAATGACTTAAGCTAGTAACTGTGATACCAGCCTCAGTCACAGCTTATTGCACCTTCCCACACTTACCAACACTCTCTCATAACCCACTGATCCCATCACTCACCCACCATCAAACCCCATCACCCACCAATAAGCCCCACAGTGCAACCCCCATCTCTGACTCACTGACACCCTCTCATCCCCCACTGATACCCCCCCGAGTCACTCACTCACTGAGACACCCCCCCAATCATTCACCGATACCCCCCGATCACCCACACACTGACCCCATTCCACCACACCCCGCCAGTCCATCCCCAATCGCTCACTGGTTTACATTTATTTACAATATGGGCACGCTTTCAATGATAACTCAATTTGAAATGCTTAATTCGGAGGCGGCTTCCCCTTTTCTACACCTGAGGCCGTGTGAAATCCTATGACGGTCAGCGACAGAGGGAATAGAAAGTGTGGCACCGTTGGTGAACAGGGTCCCCAGGGCACAGTTACTGGTATTATCACTGGGGTTAGTTATGTGAAAACAGTCCAGACCAGAACAGGTTGGCTGCACATTTCCTCTTCCTCCAGCCACTCGTTGTGCCATTGGTGGTGAGGACTGTCCCACCAGGATGCCATTTCCTGTGTTATCATGGCTTTCACCATGTTTGTGTGTGTGTGTGCGCGCGCGCACGTGTGCATGTGTGGTGTTCGCATGTGTGTGCGCATGGTGTTTGTGTGCGTGGTGTGTGTGTGTGTGCGCGCATGCGTGTGTGCGTTGTGTTTTGTGTGTGTGTGTGCTTATGTGTGTGGTGTTCCTGTGTGTGTGCGTGTGGTGTGTGTGTTGTGTGTGTGTGTGAGAGTGTGTGTGTGTGTATGTGTGTATGTGTGTGTGTGTGTGTGTGTGTCTGTATATGTGTGTGAGTGTGTGTGTATGTGTATATGTGTGTGAGCGTGTGAGTGTGAGTGTGTGTGAGTGTGTGAGTGTGTGAGTGTGTGAGTGTGTGAGTGTGAGTGTGTGTGTGAGTGTGTGAGTGTGAGTGTGTGTGTGAGTGTGTGTGTGTGAGTGTGAGTGTGTGTGTGTGTGAGTGTGTGAGTGTGTGTGTGTGTGAGTGTGTGAGTGTGTGTGTGTGTGTGTGAGTGTGTGAGTGTGTGAGTGTGTGTGTGTGTGAGTGTGGTAATTTTTGTTGCTAAATTGTCTTTGACTTGGTTTAGTTTGTTGCAGAGCCTCAAATAGAGATGGCACAGCAGTATGAAGACAATATGACTGCTGCCAGGGTATTGGACCTTAACATTCATCACTCTCTTCCTAATGTCCTACACCAGCCAGACATTAAGGGAATGGAACCCTGTTTGGTTCGGGGACATGGGAGGGTTTGTTGTGTAACCTCAGAAATGTGTGTGCAATCAACTGCAGCGTTGGGCAGCTTGCAATCCAAATAAAGTCAGGGGCTCACTTCACCTGCTGATTTTATGGACAGAATTAAATGAAGTGAGCTCTCGCTCAACAGAGAACCTCACTGACCTGCTTTGTGTTCTTTTCATGGGGAATGGCGTAGGTTAGGCCAGCAGCTTTAGCACACATTAGCCCCTTTAGAGTCATTACCTTTTCCACAGTGGCTCAGTGGTTAGCACTGCTGCTTCACAGCACCAGGGACCTGGGTTCAATTCCACCCTTGGGCAACTGTCTGTGTGGAGTTTGCACCTTCTCCCCGTGTCTGCATGGGTTTCCTCCCACAGTCCAAAGATGTGCAGGCTAGGTGGATTGGCCATGATAAATTGCCCGTAGTGTTCCGGGATGTGTAGATTCGGGGGATAGGTCTGGGTGGGATGCTCTGTGTGTCAGTGTGGACTTGTTGGGCCAAAGGGCCTGTTTCCACACTGTAGGAATTCTATAAAATTTAAAAAAAATGACACCTCCATATAATTGACCCCCATGTCTGTGTGCCATTGCTGTATACAGTCTTGGTTAGGACTTCAGAGTTCCTCCAGCAAATGTATGCTGAAGATGCACAGAGCAAATGAATGATGATTATCAATACTTGTTTCTTGCCCCTGGTACTATTCTGGAGCACAGCAAAGCCAGCTGGTGCCCTCTCTAAAACACAGACAGCTGAATTCCTGTTGAAATGAAGGAAGGACCTCCCCACCAGCCCTATTTAAAAGGATCATCATGTACACAGGTTAGTTGCAGGTTGCTTACTTCAGGGCCTTGCTATGATTCCTTACGTGTTTGATACTGCATACTGTTCTTCCATACAGCGACCTGTGCCAGTCCTTGCTGGCTCCTAAGGTTTGTGCACAGATCAGTTATTCCCGGACATGGTGCATTCATGGGCATCTCCCCCTCTGAATGTGCAGGGTTGGGAGAACCTGTGGTGGTCACCACTTTCCCCAAGGAAATCAGAGGGACCTAGGGGTTCAGGTACACAGTTCATTGAAAGTTGCGTCACAGGTAGACAGGGTGGTAAGGAAGGCATTTGGCATGCTTGCCTTCATTCCTCAGACCATTGGGAATTGGGATGTCATGTTGAGGTTGTTCAGGACAATGGTGAGGCCAATTTTGGAGTACTGTGTACAGTTCTGGTCGCTCTACCATAGGAAGGATATTGTCCAATTGGAGAGGATGCAGAAAAGATTTACAAGGATGTTACTGGGACTGGAGGATTTGCGTTATAAGGAGAGGCTGGATAGTTTGGGACATTTGCTTCCCCTGGAGCATAGGAGATTGAGGGTGACGTTATAGAGGCATAGATAAGGTGAATAGCAAAGGTCTTTTCCCCTGGGTCGGGGAATTCAAAACTAGAAGGCATAATTTTAAGATAGGAGGAGAAAGATTTAAAAGGGACCTGAGGGGCAACTTTTTCGCACAGAGGGTGGTTTTTATGTGGAATGAACTTCCAGGGGAAGTAGTAGATGCAGGTACAACATTTTAAAGACATTTGGATAGATACATGAATAAGAAAGGTCTAGAGGAATATGGTTTGGGAAACTTGGTCAGTGGTGGGCGAGTTGGACTGAAGGGTCTGTTAATGTGCTGTACGACCCTATAACACTAGCTACTGGCCTAACCTACGCCATTCCCCATGAAAAGAACACAAAACAGGTCAGTGAGGTTCTCTGTTGAGCGAGAGTTCACTTCATTTAATTCTGTCCATAAAATCAGCAGGTGAAGTGAGCCCCTGACTTTATTTGGATTGCAAGCTGCCCAACGCTGCAGTTGATTGCACACACACGTTACATTGGTTTCACTTTAGTAATGTAACATAGTCTGTGTTTGGGCACCAGGAATGCCACTCTAGCTTTCAGAGGAAGCAGATGTACCAGCTCATGAAGGTCTGAAGCCTAATAAAAAGTACATATTGCTCTTATGCAATGTACTGCCCAAACAGCATATTAAGTACGAATAAATCTGACACAGTTCTGATCTCCACAGCACGCACAAAACCAGTGCTACCCAGCCCAAAGTGATCACTTGGTTTGCTTTATTGTTGCAGAGTCAAAACCCTGCATTTCCCCACTGAAATGCACTGGAGCAATATTGTCACCGTGTCGCTGTACAGGATTTTCTGAAGCAAAACCAGGGATGCACAATGACTGCCAGTTATCACCCACACCACCAAAAACAAATTTAAAACATTCTGTTTTTCCAGACGCTCCTCAACAATTGCCAAAATGGAAGTAACTCCATGAATTAGCTAACACTTGCACAATTTATGAATCCAGGGTGAAGGAACAACTAGGACATCCAAGAGCTGTTTCCATTCTAGGTTTACCTCAGGGTTGGCAGACTGCACATAACAATGTATTAAGGTGAGAAAGGAATTCAATTATTTCCTATCAGTTAACTCTGACCTGCTGGGAGAAGCTAGGGTTCACAAGCACACACAATCTACAGGTGAACTCGACTCCAACAGTAACTAATTTTGAACTAAACCTGCATCATCCACAACAGCCTCACCAACATGTGATTCTGGAATAGGGAGGCAGACATCTAGAAATCAGACCATCTCTAGTCCTGCACATTCCCTCAAGCAGACCATTCTGGCAAAATGCCACCTCAAGGGCGGCTATGGTTGTAAATGCCTTGTGATTGGATAAAAAAGGCTTGAAAGGATGACTTCTGCACAACGCCTTTCACAACCTCAGGATGACGCAAAGTAATTTGTAACCAACAAGGTATTTGGCGAAGTATAGTCCCTGTTGCAAAAACAGTTGCCGATTTACATACAGCATGTTCTTGCAACTAACAAACAATGAGATAGATGGCCAGTCGAGGAATAAATCTTGACCAGGATAAAAATGAGATGAAAGGGTCAAGGCCCTCATTGTATGTCTGCAATGGATAGAATCGAGCATGGAAAGATTCCAATTATTAACTTTGGAGCTATCGAAAAACCCAGAGGCTCATATGAGAGAGTGCTGATCCATTGGCATTGCCTGTCTGGGTAATAACAAGGCCTTTACTACTCACTACTCACCATATTGACTGCATCTTGGTCGAAAGGGTTGTACTCGACATTCTGGGGATAGTGAGCTAAAACTTTGGACTTGAACGTTCTCCTCAATGGGCTCTGATCAAAGTTTTCTCCTACGAGATGAAAAGAGAGAATTAAATCATGTTGCAACGACCATGGAACTTCAACAAATGACTCTCCCACTCATTGTCGAAAGGTAGTGAACACTGAAAAGATGGTTCACCAACTTACCTCAGTGAGATAACATTTTTTCAAAAACTTGCATTACCAACATCTGGTTTCATAGAGGGGAAAAAAAAATGCTCCTGTCAAGCCATGCACTCGGAAAAGTCTCAGGGTTTGCAGCCACAACATCACTTCCTGCTAAGCAGCGCAGGATACTGTCTAATTTCACGACATAATTGCACCAGAACCGTCTTAACTAAGGTGCTGCTACTTCTTCCTCCTTAAGCAGTACCAGCCAAAATCAAGGAATGGAAAGCGATAATATATGAACTCAGCTTCTAAAACTTGCGATATAGTTCTCGTCTCCATGTCACAACTGGAGATGGTGCAGCAGAATAAAAATGTGAGGGTGATACCAGAACTGAGAGATCATCAATAAAGATTGGGGTCCTTTACTCTTTAAAACAGGAAGAGGCTAAAGGTTGATGTGATTGAGGTCTTTATCAATTTGGAAGGGTAAACATTTACAACATGCTTCCATATCTGGGCAGACCTAGACTGTGGGCCAGACAGCTAAGATAAACATGAATAAATCCCATGGGAAATTTAGGGTAAACACCTTAATGTTAAGACTGGTGGTAATGTGGAGCTTGCTAACTGCAGGAGTATTTGAGGTGGACCGTTTGGGTGCATCTAGGAGAATCTAGACAAACACAGTTGGGGGAAAGGAATAGAAGGGCATGTCAATAGGGTAAGATGAAGAGATTCATTTGGGGCATAAATGCCAGCACAGAACAGTGGGGCCGAATGGCCTATTTCGGCTCTACGAAATTCTATATTGAAAGGATCCATGTACATGGCCATCCAGAAACACAGTTGTTGAACTGAATTGCGCAGTCCAAAATCTCAGACTGCTCTCAGGCCGTTTGCTGTGAGTGGTTCTGGGGTACTGAGGGAGAGGGAGGAGAACAGAAAGATTATGGGATTGGATTCCTGTTCGCTGTCCCACATGCTGAAAAATGCACCTTGGTAGAAGCTGGGCAACAATTGCAAGCTGCTGGCCAGGCCCTTCACAGTCAAATTTCTTGACAATGTTCACTGCCCTGCCTCACGTATAAGCAATTTGAGTGAAAAAAATCAGAAATATGTCCAAGAAGCCCTAAAAATCGCATGTCAGCGTCCCAAGGAGAGAAGGGGAGATAAAAGAACATTAAACTTCCCACCAATTGGTCAAAAATTGTCACAGATTATTTCAAAATCCCTGCAAAATTCTAGAAAGGCATTAATCACAGTACTGAGATTTGTAAATAGAAATACTTAGCGAATAGTTGAAAGGAGTGTCAATTTTATTCTGTTTCTTACCCATTTTAAAACTTCTCAGGATAGATTTAACGATTGGTAGGAACAGTCTAATTTGTTTAAATTAACAGGAAACAAGGCAAGATAGTGAGGTTAGAGGACATGCAAGAGGCACGGCAGCCCTCTCCCAAGCGCAGAGGGTCAGAGGTCTCTAGTTCGTTATCCCTGCCAGTTATCCTGAAGGGAATGCAGTGGAAACACAAATACTGGGTCACCATCACCACCACAGACAAGGAAAACAAAACGACAGTGTCTTAGAAGAGAGGCCCATCACCAACAGCAGTAAACCAATAGACATCAACCCCCAACTTCTACTAAAGCCAGCAAAGGCCTCCATGGATCGATGAGGATTATTTGAAGGAGAGCTGGAAAGGACGAGTGAAGGATCATTAGTTTGAAAGATAGTGCCAGCCTAGTTTAGCGAGAGGAATAACATTCTACACCCGCTGCCAATCAACAACAGCAGCTGCATCCCAATGAGACCCATAATCCTGCTCAGGTCGGAATGATGGGCCAGCTGGGATCCCAGCAGAATTTCCAGAGTTCGGGAAAGCAGAGGGTGATGCACTCGCAGAGCAAACAGAAAGGTGAGAGATCTCACATGTTTTCCACTGTTTACCTGAAGCTTTGTTTGGACATGGAGTATCTTGTGTCCTGCTATATCGCTCTGCTTCTAGCCACTGGCATAACGCTATACAACACAAATAAAAGAGACAAAATGGTGGGTGAAAATAAATTCAAAAGTAAAATAAAAATTGCTTCGAAAGGTGGTTAGGAACATGTAATTGTTAAGAAAGGCATCACAAGTGTACACAGGCCTTTTCAAACACACAGTAAAAAGCACAGTAATGACAGCAGTTCAGCACATGATTATAGCATCAGAACTCTCTCCCACCCCAACTTTTGATTTAAAGATCGATAAGTTCCTCCTTCTGCCATTCTTTGAAGCAGTGCTTTTTTTATTGCAAAAATATACTTTACCCATAAAAAAAAATCTACATTAATTGACACTAAAGCAGTTCTGTACAGATGTTGCATTTCAGCACTGGAATTCAACATTCCCTGAAGGTGCAGCAACCAATGGCATTGCTTATTCATTCGGGACAGTACTTACATACATTGAGGCAATGTGAGGGTCTGATAATCGAACTTCTGCAGAAAGACCACTGGTCCTTCCCCAAGTTTCAGTGCGTCCCTCAGCACGTAGTCCTGGACCTTAGAATGTGCCAGTCTGCAACACTCAGTCAGGATCAGCTCTTTACACTGGAAGACCAACAAGTTTCAGGCAGACCAAAGACAGTCTTTCACCGAGTTGATGGCCCTCCAGATGCAGTCGATGTCTGTCCGACTGTGCATGCCGGGGAACAGACCATACAGCACAGAGTCCTGCATCATGGAGCTGCTCAGGATGAATCTTGGACAAAAACCACTACATTTCTCTCCAGACCTTCTCTGCAAAGGCACGTCGCAGCAGGAGATGTGTGACCGTCTCTTCTCCCCACTTCAAGGGCGTTCCTTTAAGTAGGGTTAATGGTCAGCACCATATCAGGTATGGATCTAGCTTTACAACTAAAGATGCTAATCAATTGTGAGTCGTGGTGTCAGCTTCACACATTGGTGATGGTAAGGGTGAGGGCATTTAGTTTTAATTTCTAACCATCCTCATGCCTTCTGATCGATTAACCTTGATGCCAAAACAAATTAAGACGACTAGGCACCAATTCTGTTGCCAACTGTGATGAATCAATGGTCTCATCACATGACTTGGCCCCACCCTCCAGCATTCATTGGCCAACACGCCCATCCTTATGCACTTCCGACGTCAATTGGAAAGCAAAAAGACTCATTCTCCAGTACGAGGGTGCTTGACTTGTCAGCCAAACAGCCATTTCATTTCCTACGTTCAATATGCTTGCATTTGGGAAAGAGAAACGTTTAAAGAAAATGGCACAAGAGAAACGGCATTTTGTTTCAAAGATATTCTTGTGATTTTTCTCCAGGATTGCTCACGGCAATGTCCCGTCAACTGTTCAATTCCTGGAGATTACAAATAAAGCAAACCCTACAAGACAAGGTCTGATAGAACATATTTTGTTTGCTGCTCTTTTGGGTTTCGTGGTGGCACAGTGGTTAGCACTGCTGCCTCACAGTGCCAGGGACCTAGATTCGATTCCAGCCTCAGGCGACTGTCTGTGTGGAGTTTGCACATTGTCCCAGTGTCTGTGTGGGTTCTCTCCAGATGCTCCAGTTTCCTCCCGCAGCCCAAAGATATGCAGGTTAGGTGGATTAGCCATGGGAAATACTGGGTTACAGGGATAGGGGGTGTGGGTCTGGGTGAGATGCCATTCAGGATCAATGTGGACTCGATGGGCTGAATGGCCTCCTTCCACTCTGTAGGGGTTCTATGATTCTACATTCCAACAGGGCCCGATCAAGATTACCACTCACCCACCACAGATACATGGATCAGATCACTCACATTTCAAAGCCAGTGGGAGGCACAATTGAGTAAACAGAATTTAAAAATCAAACTAGCAAGAATTCCAGTAAAAGAGATTGTGATCAATTTTTAACATAAGGAACCATAGACCATGTCCTTCTGAGCTTTTTGAGGTTTGCCAGTCATGAAGATCATTCAGAAATAAGGAGTTTTGTTTTCTAACCATGTATCTTCAAATGACTGCAAACTCCTGCTAAGAAACGATCCCTGGCTTCTCTTTCTCCAACACACTTCTTGTTTCTTATACAACATTCCTTGCAAGCCGATAACACTCTTCCTTCCTCCCCTTGTACCTGAAATCTGCAGTTGCTAGGAGACAGCTCTGCCAATCAAATGCAGCTGCTGCCCTTTGACAAAGCCCAATGAATGTCTCTGCTCAAGCCATTGCAATGATCTCACTGTCAAACCCATTCTATCCCAGTGCTGTGGAACTAGGAAAGTATTTACATCTCCCAACCTTCCCCTTCTAGTCGCAGATTGTTCAAACCCACCATTTAATCACTAGTTCCAGATTTACTGCTCAATCCTGCACTTGATCCTTCAACTTATTCAGGAAAATACAAAATCTATTTTCACCTGAAAATTTGCATAGCATCACGGAACAACTCAACTGGAAACAACAGCAGGAATTCATTATCAATTCTCAGTATTGGCAGGCATATGTCCGCATGGATTAAATGGTGCAGCGACGGGTCCCAATATTGTGTCATTGACCAGGCTGATATAGAATGAGAGTGTCTATGAATAGGTCCAGGCAGTGAGCCATGGTACTCGACTGCCTTTCTCTCTTCCATGGTTATGTCCACATCTGAGAGGTGCCAACTGGCACACATTATCAGACCTTCCATGACCAGTGGGCACACGGGGTGGGAGGTGCTGAGGGGGATCATCCACCTCCCACCTCCTCCAAAATAACATTTCCACGTCATTTTGTAAGCTTCATTTGTGATTTGGAGTTTATCATTACAGCACTCTTCAGTGTTACCAATTCTAAAGTTTGCTTAATTTGGACAATGGTATGTTATTTAAAATAATAGAATCATATCATGGTTACAGCTACTACCAAAATGAGGCCATTCAGCCTATCAAGTCTGTGCTGGCTTTCAGCAAGACTAATTCAGTTTGTTCCATGCCCACAAATCCAATTCTCTTGAAAGCCATGATTGGTTCTGCTTCCATCATATTCTCAGACAGTGCATGGCAGATCCTCCCCACATGCTGTGATTTTTTTAAAATTTATTGAAATGATGAGGGGCATCACTGGCTAATTAAGAGCTACACAGCATTTATTGCCCATCCGACACCCACCTTCCAGCAGAGGGTCACTAGATTATTGCCCAGAGGGCAGTTCAGAGTCAACCATATTGCTGTGTCACAGACCAGAACAGGTGAGGATGGCAGTTTCCTTCTCAATAGACAATGGATTTATTATGGTCATCATTTGACTCTTAATTCCAGATGCTTTTTATTGAATTCAATCTGCCATGGTGGGATTCAAACCCAGGTCCCCAGAACATTATCTGGGTCTTTAGATTAACAGTGCAATGATAATACCACTAGGCCATCCCCTCCCTTCAAAGTGTTCATGTCACTTTTGTCAAACTCCTTAAATCAATGCATTCTGGTTGTGAACACTTCAGCCAAAGGGAACAGTTTCTCTCTATCTACTCTGTCCAGGCCCCTCATGACACTAAACAGCTCAGGCAAACTCCTCTCAACCATTCCCATTGGGCTTCCTTGAGAGTGAGTGTCTCACCATTAGAGACCTAGGTCTAGGGAGGGAATGAAGGGAGACATTTATCACTCTCAGTTTCAGTCAGATGTTTGGTTTCATGTAGCCACAACCCATCTGTATTCAGTTCATGTACCATACTACAGAAAGGAGATATTGGTCATGGAACGGAGCTCAATGCAACATTGATCAAAGTCAGGCTGGGACTTAAAGGGTTAAACCGTGACATAACATATTACGTGGACTTTTATTCCCTTCAGTTTAAAAGAGTGAGGACTGATTGAGGGGTTTAAAATGTTAAAATGATTTGCAAATGACTTCCTATTGTGAAGGAATCGACAACAAGCAAACAGAATTTTAAAACTGATCATTCGGGAGAAAAGTCAGTAAGTGTCTATCAAAAGATAAAGGCGAGCTTTATATCATAAAGAGGAGGCAATGGCCTAGTGGTATCATCACTGGGCTGTTTATCCAGATAACTTTCTGGGGACCTGTGTTTGAATCCAGCCATGGCAGGTGGTGGAATTTGAGTTCAATAAACATCTGGAATTAAGAACCTAATGATGACCATGAACAGATTGTCGGGGAAAAACCCATCTGGTTCACTAATGTCCTTTAGGGAAGGAAACTGCCCTCCTTACCTAGTCTGGCCTACATGTGACTCCAGACCCACAGCAATGTGGTTGACTGAGCTCCCCTCTGGGAAATTAGGGATGGGCAATAAATGCTGCCTAGCCAGCAACACCCTCATCCCATGAATGAATAAAGAAAAGCCATTTATCTTTTATGGTTCCATCATTCCTTCTGACCCTTACCCAACAAAGATCTAACTAATCCAGTTTGATGTTTTCAATTAACATTGGCTCGACAGCAGTGTAAGGGTAAGAGTTCCGAAAAGATGGTGGTGGAATATGGCTTCCGAGCCCAGTGGTCATCCTCTCCGTCTGCTACTTCTTTTCATTTCTTTTCTTTCTTTGCCTTCTCTTCTGTTTTTTTTCCCTGTTTTATTTTACTAATGTCCTGTTGAAGGGTTCAGTTGCGGCAACAGTATCAGTGGCGGCGAGCGGGCCCAGCGCTGACTCTCGGCAGCAGTGTTGAAGGCGATTTTGGATTCCCGGCAGTGTCCGATCCAGCGCGGATTCGGAGAGGCGGTGGCGGAGATGTGTTTGGGCTCAGTTTGAGAGCGGCGGTAGCAGCTGCATTGGCAAGGTGGGCCCAAGGCGCACTCATTACGGTGACGGAGGTGAGTTTGGGCCGGTGGGATACCTGGCAGCATTGGCAGTGCCTGCATTGGCGAGGTCCAGCAAGAACTCGTAATGGCGAGGGCATTGGTAGAGGCAAGATGGTGCTCAAGAATGGCAACGCGGTGAATGGGACTCGTGCCTGGCCAACAGGCCCGTGGCTCAACAAGAAGGACTGTAAAGTTGAACACTTTTTCTTCAATTCTTTATTTTTCTGC